TTGACATACAGACCATCCCCCAGTACAGCCAAGTGCAGACCATCTCAGACACCTGCACTCAGGCCCATGGTCCTAATCATCCTCTATGCAAACCTGCTGGGTAACGCCACAAGGAACCCAAGAAGGGCTCCCACAGGACATACATTTACATCCCACAGCAGAAAGGGGAGTTTTCTTCAGTTTCTTTTAGCTCATGGTAATTCCTATATTTAATACTTATTTTCCTTAATATATTCTCAAATCATATTTTCTTTAAGTTCATATTTAGTAGTCTGCAAATGTTCTCCACATATTAGGCTCCCCTCTTAAGCTGTAGAATATACTTTAGTAGCATTTACAATTTTGTATGATGTGATGTGATGCAAGATTATCTGATGTGCATGCACAGGAGAATGATGATCTTAAAGACTCTGAGTACAAACATACTTTGAAAGTAAAGCAAAATCAATTTTTAAACTCCATATTAGTGAATAAAATATTTACACTTAACATTATAAAAATTTATAACTTGATCACCATTTTATTCAATTTAAATGGTTACATGTGACATATACTTCACATTGCTGGGTCCCAAATTTTGGAATTTCACCTATTTTGTTTCCTAGTTATAATTGCTAAGTATTACTCAGAATTTCCCAATGTGTTATATATAGCATAATGAATTTTATTTGGCCTTCATCACCAAATCATATTTTGGGAAAAGATGGACAAACTCATTGTAATTTTATCTTCTTTTATATATATATATATATATATATATATATATATATATATATATATGTGTGTGTGTGTGTGTGTGTGTGTGTGTGTGTTTATAATTGTATAATTATGGCTTTCCTTTGCATAACATTTTCATTAAAATGTTATTTGATATTTGGATGATAAGTAGTTCTCTTTACAATAGGAGCATTTGTGGTTTCAGTTTTGTAAAGGTATAGTATGAAACCAGTATTTAAGAACAGAGAATAGTTCTTTGAGTCTGTTTTCAAATGGTAGCTTCATTGATATTTCTGAAGCACAAATGCTGTGTGAATTTAAAAATCTACATGCTTTATCAACCCTAATATAACTTCTAACTTCATACACAGCATGGCTTATCTAGTTACAATCTTTTCCTAGTTAATTCCTCCATTCCCTACTTCTCAAGTATTCCTCATTAAAAATCTTGGCCCTGCCTCTACTGAATATACCAGCCTCTGCTGACTCCCCATGGGAGGCCTTACCCTCTTGTAGGAGAGAATTGGGGGTGGGTTGGGAGGAGCCTGGAGAGGCAGAAAAGGGAAGAGGGGGATCTGTGATTGGTATATAAAATGAATAAAAAATTCCAAAAAAATAAACAAAGAACACTCTGTTCAAAATATAATAATCCTTCCCTTGCATAAAAAGAAGCATCCAGGTGTAGATGTAACCAATCGTATTATTAAAATAAAAAACAAAGAGCCAAGGTAAAAGAGAAAAGCCGAGAGGTCAGAGCTCAGAGATAAAATCTTACCTCCTGCAGTGCTCCTAGCTTCCCCGAGAGAGGGAGGTACTTCCTGTGT